GTTTGTTTACATACATCGAAGTAAAAGACATGTACAGTATTTGAGTTAGAGTAGGATTTGGATAGTTATAAACTTTATACAATACCTTTTGTTCTTATCCCTGGTTGGCCTTTCAGTTAAAGGTCCAGTGTGTAGGATTTAGTGGCAACAAGTGGTGTAGTTGCAGATCACAACTCCCTCACGACCTTCCAATTCCTATATTCAGGTGATTATACACTAATGAAAACATACCTTTGAATATTATATTCTATTTCTGCCAATAGATCCTCCTTAATGTTACACACTGGACCTTTAAGGCAATATAGTGCTACTGTAGTTTTAATAGTGTAATTTAAGAGCAATAGAGGTTAATACTATTTATTGATGTCTTATCACTGGAAACTTTCCTGATGTTTTGGTTAACATTTACAGAGTTACTGTTCCACCCAGTGGAAGACTCTGAGAGAACGTTTTGACTCTGGATTGTATGCATCACATGCTGATCTACACAGACTGAAGTAAGTCCCAAAGGATTAACAAACTGCTACAAAAGCTCGACTAACCAGTTGGTCACATTCCAAATAAGATGTTTATCAATGGCTTTATGTTTATGTCTGCAGGTACCAGTGTTTTAAATCAGCGTGGATGTATGAAGTATTGCACTCAGGCTTCTCTTTCCCAGCTAATTATAAAAACCTGAAGACTGCCCTGTTGGTCTATGATAAGGAGGTCCAGTGGACTCTCGGAGCTATTCTTTACAGAACACGGTTTCTGCCTTTGAGGTAAGATAGATTGTCTCTCATGTGTGCCATTCTTAGTCACTTTACTAATTATGCTTTAAGTAATTTTAGCCAGTGAAAGTGATCATCCTAAATGTGTTCTTCAGTGTAAGTGAGAAAGTTCACTGTAATCCTCAGAGCTATCTTTGATAACAGCACACTCTTATGTTGAACCTGAGTGGAGAGTTGAAACAGTAATCGGTACTTAGGCACTAAGGCTTACAGAGAAATTCCACTTTTCTGCTCCAAAGAAATTTAAAAGAAGCTTCAGAGAACTGAAAAAATTCTGGATTCTTGTCTGATTATCTATTAATGTTATCTCTTTGTTCAAAGCTGGTTTAAAATGTGTGAGGTTTGTTTGTTTTTTTGCCTCTTCCAGGGACATCCAGCAGGAGAGTCTGAAAGGAGCGCACTCTCACTGGCGGCACAGCTTCTCCTTTGTCAACAACCACTATTTATTCCTGGCTTGTTTCTTCATTGTGTTGCTGTCCATTATGCTGTACTTGCTGCGCCTTCGCCGCATCCATCGGCGCGCGGCCCAGCACTGCACCCCCTCCTCTGTACCGTGGTTGGAAGAGGGCCTTGGCTCACCCGCACTCCCCATCAACCTCTAAATTTTGTAGAGCATAAAGTCTGGACCGTATGTCTGACTTCCCAAAGCCAGTCTTCACTCCCTTTTTCTCTGAGGCTCAGCTGCTTGTTCAGTGAGCTTTTGAAGGCGGCTGCTGTGCCCTGAAAACAGGGCTACGAGTTACTACGAGTTAAAACTGATAGGTAATGAGAACTGGATAAACGAGGAAGGTAATTATGTGAGTCTTCAGGCTTACCTGAGCTCATGAAATATTTGTGTTGGAAGTTATTTTGTTTGATATGTCTTTTTTAGGTCTCGTTCTTGCCTGCCATGTACTCCATTATCAAAATCAAAAAGAAACGGACCCCAGGTGTCTTTTGTTTTATTGAAAATAAAGAGACAAACGCAACGGTACTTTTAGCTAGCTAATCTTCCATACCCAAATAAATATGTAGTCTATACTTTGAATTTCACAAGCTGGACGAATATACCATGGTGAAAATGTATTTATTTCTTTATGCCTTTTGTATATGTATGATCACATCTTTTCTTTTCTGTTTTATTATTCTCTTTTAGTTGTTAAATGGTACAAGCACTCGCCATTTCCACAGAAACCTCAAATGCAATACGATTTATAATTAGTGGAAGGAGCACTTTTCCCAGCTGGGATAATATTTTTTTTGTGTGTGTTTGTCTTTCCCAAATTGTTCTGCCTCAACAGGACAGGTAGCCTTTAATGGCTATACTAGTGCAATACATGTCTTGTCACTGTTGGGGAAACTCTCCAGAACACATCTGCTCTTTTGTCGAGAGAATGACACTCTCTTAAAGCCCTGCTGAAATTCTTGTGTTGGGTCATCTGACTTTCAAGTTGGATACCGTTACATATATTTACGTTGGGCTTCATTTTCAGAAGCCGTCATATCACTGCTGTGAGGGGATTGTAAATGAGAGCACATGCCCCATTATTTATATGAAAATGGTCTAGTGAAATGTTTGCACAGATGAATGCGAAATAAATGTTGTCACATTGCAATTCAGTAATAAAGGTTTTATGGTATACTTGTCTGGCTGTTTATTTCCTGAGGAGGAGATCAGACTAAACAAATGGTGTCAGTATTTCCATGCAATGAATTTGAAACCGGTGGTTCTAAAAGTATAATGTAGACACCAGCCTCTGTCACTGAAAGGGAAAAGGCAAGAGTTTATTTCAGTTCACTCCATTGTCGATTTGACTTCAACTCTCAACAAGTTTAAGTGCTGCGTAAGAGCATGGATCAATTGCAGCCACTAATGACCACACAAGCTCAGCACAGGTGCTGTAGACAATTTGATGAAGTATTATAGCCTTGCAGAGGCATCCTGAGATAAGTGTTGTTAGACCACAGCCTGTCTTTGTTTTCACATGCAGATGTGACCCTGGGCAAGGCTGCTGGTAATGGAAATGGGACAAATGAAAATAATTTAAACTGCACAACACATGAGGTACATCAGCTGTGGAATAAAACTGAGGTCTGCTGCTGCATTTAGATGAGTGAATGTCCTGCTCTAGGTTGCTCACAGTATTCAGCTTTGCCATAACTGCAGAGAAAATTGTCCACTTGTTTATTAATGACAAATATATAATAAATATTTCATCAAGGAGGGACCTTTCCAGTTTCCAGTTATCCAGCTCTTGATGTTCTCTTTGTGAGAGAAGTGTTAATACTTCATGCCCTCTGCATGTGGGACATCCTCTGTGTTATATTAGCATTCATTAATTGCAACTTTGGTCCAATATCAATCATTGCACTTACAGATTGGCGTTGGATGGGAAGATATTGTTATTGTAAACAATTAACAGTTCTTATAATAGTAATAATACTGCTCTGACTGTAGTTTCCCTACCGAATGTGTGAATACCAGCTGCAACAACACTGTTTGGACAAGTGGTTCTTTAAGATGCCTGGCTCCTATAATGCTGAGTCATTGATAGGTCACACTGCTTTGCCTACACACCCACTGTGACATTGTAGTGTGCTGTGTGTGTAGAGCTTATGTTTCAGCTAATGGTGAGTGACACAGAATAGCTACTTGCTACTAATTTCCTGTAATGATAATTCATACTGTTTCTTTTTTTACAATTTACAAATCAAATATCTTGACCAACAGATATCTTTTTGTAGCGTAAAAAGTGAGGAGTGAGTGGAGAGAACCACTGAATATGTTCAGTCGAATCAGATGCGATCCTAAACACAAACTGGCATCCGGTTGGTTATCAAGGTGAAATTTAAACTTCTGGCCTGCAACAAGAGACAGGATGACACAGCCAAAAAAACAATTATGAATTATTAAGAATAAGATGTGTTGGCATTCATTTAGCCCCATTAAGATGATAGCTCCTTGAACTAATTTAATTGAATAAGTAATTAATTTGGACCTTTAAGTTTCTTATTCAGGAGCTGAAACTAAAGCATGCAGGGTGTGTTGTTAAGAGGCCTCTGTATTCACTATAGACTACTTCATGAGTTGTGTGAGGATCAGTATGTTTAAGTTTAAGAGGGTTACAGGTGAGAGAGGTGGTGTGAGGTTGTTGTGTAAGCTTACTTTATTTTATCTTGAATCTATTCTAATTTATCATTTAGACAGTAAGAGCTTTCATTGTTGCACCAACTGGTTTCAGAGATCCCTTTTGGTGTGCCGCCCCTCAGTGCCTTTTTTAAATAATTATCTCCAATGAAATCTGAGCACCCACCGGTCACTGGAACAACCAGTACTACAGCAGAAGCAGTTGAATGTTTACCACTGATTTGAAACTTAATATGATTAAAGATAATAAGCTAAAACAATAAAGAATACTATACCTGATAAATTACAAATTCATCACATTTTATTTAGAAGGTGTGTCCAGACACATAAATACGCAACAAACTACTCACATCATTTACTACATACTACTATATTTTTAGGTATTGTAGCTATTTCCACTTTTGCCACTTTATATTTTAACTGCACTACATTTCAGAGGGAAATATTACTTTTGCTTCCCTATATTTCACAGCTGTAGTTACTGTTTGCAGGATGTTCTTGACTAAATAATCAGATAATATACAAAGTAGTTAAAAATGGCTTCAACTCACCAACCACAACATTAAATAAATGCTTACATGTTAATGTGTAAGTAATAATAATCCAATATATTATTAATAGGCTATACTCTGTCTAAGGGCATGAAGTATGTTTGATGCCTGAGCCTATAAGAATTATTGCTGTCAATATTTTTGTACTCTTACTTAACTTTGCAGGACTTTTATAGGCTTTCTGAATTACAAGAATATTTCTTCCACCACTGATCAAACCATTTTCGAGTAAAACCCCAAGTTGAAGATAATGATTATGAGAAGTTCTACGGTTTTCTCCACAGTATTAATGAACAACGAAGTGCTGCCTGATAAGGAGACCAAACCTATTTATCTATTGAAGCAGCACGGTGCGATTACACTTCTCCCAAATCCATTCAAAAACTCTCAAAGAGCCACAGAAGAGCTGCACAAGAGGAATCTACCACGAAAACTTTTCATTGGTCGCCTCAAACTAAAGTCCCGCCCCTATTGTTGAATACCTATAACTGATTGGTCCACATCCACCTGAGCCACGCCCACATCTTTCTAACGTCACACGGCCGCTGGAACTCCTCTAAAGTAGCGATGGTGTTGTGGTTTTGCACGCCGCCGACACCTCTCTGAGTGTTGTCCCGTACAGGAGACCGACTTAGGAGGGAGGTGGAGGCGTTGAGCTCACCACGCATGGAGTTGAGCTCGGACCGGGTGGTGGCAACGCTGGAGATGTCGCAGATCAAAAGCAAAGACGACGAGCCTTTTGATGGAGACGGTGACTACGAGAGCTTGCCACCTCATGTCTCAGTGACGACCCACATGACAGCCGGAGCCGTGGCTGGCATACTGGAGCACACGGTGATGTACCCCGTGGACTCTGTCAAGGTAACGCAGGAGCTCGCATGGCAGCAGATGTCACTTGTTTTGCCACCACGGCTCATTCACTAACTAGCAAACAGGGCACCGCTAACTGCACAGGACAGCTTTGCTGTGAGTTGCTAACGAAGGTTAGCTGTGAAATGTTCATGCTGCACATCCCTAGTTAGCCTCAGTGTTAGCTAAGTCAAGCACGACAAGGCTGCTTGCTACAAGTAGACTGAACTAACTGGTTGAACAGGCTAGCAGTAAATTAAATCGTTGAGAAAACACTTTGTTAGGTTAACCAAAACACGCAGTAACAGTTTTACTACATTTTTTTTCGCGTCTTTCTCGTAATAACTATTAACTTTGCTAACGTAGCCAGCGTACTGAGCACCCAGTGTAACCTTTTAGTCACATTTTAGCAAGGTTAAGGTTTAACAAAGTCCGTGTCATTTTCAAAGTGAGCTCGTTTTTACTGTGTGTAATGTTTCTGTGGTATCCCAGGGTTTTCCCTCAGCCTCAGGTTTTGTTTTATCCCACATGGTGAAACGAAAGTGGGATAAGTGAAGGTCAAGTACCTGGTTGCTTGAGTGTAAAATATGTCAAAGTGACTTGAAATGTGAAACTAGACGTATTACGACAATGTTTACTCCACCCTAAAGGTTAAACTGTGTAAACAATGTTGGTAAACTATGTAGGGAAGTTACAAAGTGTACTTTTGTGTCCACTTGTAGATGTGTTGACCAATTAAAGAAGGTTAGGTTTCAGTGGACGACTATTACTTTAAATGTCTAATATTACAAGATTTAAATTGTCTCTTGTTTATTAACTAGTGTGATCAGTTGCTATATTTATTAGATAACTTTCAACTGTAATGTCATTGCCAACACAATTCAGTGTAGCCTCTAACCAGATACAACAAACAGTAGCCAACAGAAATAAGTAAATGTAATTCAGATTTCAGTCTATTACTGAGGATCTCTTTCTTCCTTCTTCAAACGTTACACGGTTCCTAAATATTTTTAGGAGGTAGGGAAATATTGAGCACACTATAATCTCTCACATGAGCGTCTGACGTGTTCACTAAAACTTGCTATAAAAATATTGCACATCAGGTTTCTGTAGCAAAGATAGAGTCACCTTTTTAAACACACAAGATGAACAAGCAGTCATTAAAAAAATGGTTTAAAAGCATTCATATATTCTTAATTCAGGCTCACGTCACTGAGGGGATGCTCTGGAGTTAAGTGGCTGTCGTAGAGGTACAGACGATTTGTTCATTTAAAAGTGTTGGAGCAGTCTCGGTAATACAAACTCTTGGCAGGGATCACAGAGTTGATCAGAGGAACACATTCTGACTCCAGCACTTTGTGCGACGTTGGCAAATCAAAAAACAAATTTGTTCACTAATTAATTTAAAGCCAGTGTTTTAGTAAATACATGAAATGATTGGCTAGCTTTAAGCATGTTGAAATTGGATTTTGTCTGCGAAGCAATTTGCAAACTGTTTGTTTGATTGTGAACTTTGGCCGTGCAATCCTCCTCTTCTGCTCAGCTATTGTTTTCTAACAATGTAGTGTTGTTTTGATGGTTTGGCTCGCGGCTCTACCTTAACAATAATCTTGATGTGGTACAGATTAGCATAACATTAACATAGTGCAAGAAAATAATGTCATTATATCCTCTTTGCTTCAGTGTCCAAGTGTTGACATTTTTCCACATAAACCTCTGTTACACAAACCAATGTTGCCATTTCCTCTTGAGGTTTCACAAGCACCTTCCAGCTGTAGATGCGGTTCCCATTCAGTTTGATCAGTACAAAGAACCTGTTTTGAAATTACAGAAATCTAAAATGATGAAAGACTGATTCATGGTTTATATTTAATCTTATGTATTACATCAGAGACATTCATTTTCCTGTTAAATAAATAGGAGTCTCTGTTTGATGAAATAAGGAATTGGTGTCTCACATCAAGCTTGAGAAGAGCTTAGGAAAATATGTGGGGGTTTTTTAAGACTCTGCGTGTTTATTTCAACTTTCCGAGTTCACTGGCTGGTGGTAACAATACTCTGAACCTGTCAACTGTTACTGGATGTTTCAACCTCCCAGTAAAGAACAAGGCACTGCTAAGACTCTGGGAGTAGTCTGTGTTAAGGCAAAGGGGTGGATCTTATCGGCGTTCTGCACATTTGGAATCAGCTTTACGCAGTAAAGGGTGTGTGTATGCAGTTGTTCTTCTGCAGTGTTGATTAGTAAAACCGCCACAGAGCCAGAATTGCAGATAAATTAGAAAGATCGGACACCCCTGTAAAGAAGTAGATGGGACTTCTGTTTTTTTAAATATCTTACATGATTTTGTTGCCCTTATTTGGGCAGTGATGCTTTTATGTAGACAACTCTCATGTTTAATTTCTATTATTAGCTGTTTCACATTATGAATACTGTAAAGAGTGCAAATATTTATCTTTATTTTGAGTCATGAAGTAAAACAACACATTCTGTTTTGATGATGATCCAATCTGCACGCTTGTTTTGCAGTTAGTTCTTCAAACAAGCAGGATTAATAGTTTTTCACTACATTTCATCTTCTATTACAACAGCTCCTTAAAGTTTCACATTAATCCACAGATCTCCTTAATACTTAAATGTTTTGAGCAAAGCATTGTGAGTAATTCAACCTTTACTGCTCCATTTTTTTGTATTGCTGTTTTAACATAACATCATCATGGTCTTCATGATCTTAAATTGCATTACAAAAAGTAGACTTTTATTTTTGAATAGGACACTCAAGATACCTGTTGCATTTGACACACATGACATCCCACTTTGTGGCATTGTAATCATGAATATATCAATAATGATGTATGATTGAAAATTAACTTAATTAATTTGTTCTCTGATGTTTAGTTTCAATGCTAGATGCCACATGCCTGCTACCTTCCAGCTCTCCAGCTTTCACATCCTTTCTCATACCAACAAGTTGTGTTGTCTGTTTTAAAACTACAATCCATAATCTAAACCTAGTTTGAGATGTGTAAGCATTACAGTAACTTAACCATTTATTCATTTCTAAAAAAGTCCTTTAATTTTGAGGGCTAAACTTCAAGAATTAGACTTTTGATTACTGAAGACATTCATACATACAGTTCTAAGTTGGGTCTCGTGCATGAGATGCCTTAGATGTCTTTTTTATCATCAGGCATTCAGAAAGTTATGACTAAAAAGAGCACAATCCTGGGATGCTGTGTGAGCCGTTGGTGGGTTGCTATGTACCCAGAATATTTTATGCTTCAGATTACCTATAGAGCAAACTATTTATATTATTATGTAGTTAACTAGTTTCATTCATTAGTTGACCTGAATATGAAAATAATCACACTTTTGCCTCTGACTTCAGCAGAACAATTTGATTCGCAGTGCATATTTTTAGACACACAAACATAAAACGTAAACTGTGCTAACAAGTTCTGTGTGCCCCAAGTTCCCAAAACTGTATCAAACGGAAATGTAATTGATATTTAATTGTTAAGCTAGAGGAAGGAAACACATGGGGACATGCTGAGGAAGACAGACTGGGCCTATCTCCCGAACCAGCCCCAGATCTCTTTGCAAATAAAAACATGCTTTGTGGTGTCCAGATAACTTGGCATGGTGGAGTAAAACAAAGAGCTGCCACAGCCTCCCACACCAGCCTTTGGAGAGACACACATCACTCAGTCAGGACCTCAGTGCTGCCAAGTACACTTACTGTCAGAACAATGTGACAGCATTACAGGGAACAATACATCAAGAAATCATGATTTGGCCTACACCATGTGCCCACTTAAAGCCGCTCAGAGTCACATTAATGGCCTCATGCAGAGCCCTAGCTTTGACATTTGGAAACTGTAAATGTTAATGTATCTAACCATACTGGAGCAAATAATAAAGAATGGTTTAAATATATGTCTTTTTTTTTTTTTTTTTTTTCAGACAAGGATGCAGAGCCTACAGCCTGACCCAAATGCACAGTACAGGGGTGTGTATGAAGCTCTGAAAAGGATCATCCAAACAGAAGGGATCTTCAGGCCACTGAGGGGCCTCAACATCACCATGTTGGGAGCAGGGCCCGCACATGCGCTCTACTTCGCCTGCTATGAACGGGTCAAACGCTCACTAAGTGACGTCATTCAGAGTGGAGGCAACAGCCACGTAGCCAATGGTACCAGTTCCCACGTCTCCACACACATCGCTGATATTGTCACACTAACTGCTCTCACACTGGGCTAAGCAATATGGCCCGGAGGGGTGTAGTTAGGATAAGTCATTTTGATGCCATATCCTGTTTACAATGGCTAGGATAAAACAATATTCCAAATATGAAAAATTCTGGGATGTATCGGTACAGACCAGTGTGTTTTACCGGGAAAAAATGGGAATTCACCCCAACTAATATTTAAAATAATATCTATAACCAATCAATTTGATGTTAAAATTCTTTTCAACACAGTCATTGATTTAGACTTAACAACATCTGTTTATGTTTTAACAGGTATTGCAGGTAGTGTGGCCACTGTTCTCCATGATGCTGTCATGAACCCAGCTGAAGGTAAGAAAAATATGGCAAGGCCTTAAAGTTGAGGATATTTTAAGTATTAGTATTAGTAAGTATTATTTGCGTGTCCAATGCCTGATATACCGTATAGATCCATTGTTGTCCAAACAATTAATCAGAAACGTCAGTGAGCCATGTCATTGCACTGGGTGACATGTTCATTACTATGTACAGGGGTACTGTACTTTATTTTGAGTCAATCACACATACATCGCCCTGTTGCAGTAAATACTCACTAGAGTAACAAATGTGGATTAATCTGCACCGGAAAATAGGCCACAGAAAAGTCACTGTTTACTCCTATTTGAGTGAAGTTGCTAAAAACACCTAAAGATTTGAAAATGATCTATTAAGATGATCCTATTAAGAACTAATGGAGTTGGAGTTGGTTAACATGGACAAACAGGTCACACAGATAAACTAATGCATTGTTGGTTTTGATCTTTTCATGGGACGGTAACACAAATACAGAATGATCAGAGTCATATCCTTTAAACAGCAGATGTTAACACTTTACTTGGACTGTCCCTGTCAGCACAATATAATTAATGAAATATTTTGGCCATCTCTTTTTGTTTCACACACTTTGTCTGTTCTTTCTTCAAGTATAATCATAATTATTATCATTAACAATGCTCTGGATTGCCTGTTAACACATTTTGAAACCTACTGAAAACATAACATTTTTGGAGGATCTATTGGCAGAAATGGAATATAATATGCATAACTAAGCTTTTATTAGTGGATAATCACCTGAAAATAAGATTTGTTATGTTCTTGTTACCTTAGAATGAGCCTTTTATATCTACAGATGCAACGGGTCACCTTCCATAGAGGCCGCCATGTTGAATTGTCCTGTTTCTACAGTAGCCCAGAAAGAACAAACCGAACATTGGCTCTAAATAGGGATGTTTGCGTTGTTTCACAGCCACCGTACTTTCTCCTGCTTGGAAGTTAAGGGGAAGGTAAAGTGAGGGAGTTACAATCTGTAACCGCACTTTTAAAAGCCTGTTCTCTGCCATGTTACACTAAGTGGAAAGTATAAAATGGTATAGAATCCACATAAAGGTATGCGATAAAACATGCTAACAACTTGTTTCCTTCCATGTCTCAGTGATAAAGCAGAGGATGCAAATGTACAACTCGCCATATCGAGGACTTTGGGACTGTGTTCAAACAGTAACGCGTACTGAGGGTATGGGAGCCTTCTACCGCAGCTACAGCACACAGCTGACCATGAACATCCCCTTCCAGGCTGTTCACTTCATCACCTACGAGCTGATGCAGGAACAGTTGAACCCCCACAGACATTACCACCCTGGCAGCCACATAGTGTCAGGAGCAGCAGCAGGAGCCATTTCCGCAGCAATAACCACTCCACTTGACGTTTGTAAAACTCTGCTCAACACACAAGAGAATGTAGCACTCAACTCCATGAACATCAGCGGCCACTTAACAGGAATGGCTAATGCTTTCAGGACAGTGTACCGGCTTGGTGGTCTAGCGGCCTTCTTCAAAGGGGTCCAAGCTCGGGTTATATACCAGATGCCCTCCACTGCCATTGCCTGGTCAGTGTACGAGTTCTTCAAGTACTTCCTGACCAAGCAGCAGCTGGAATCAGAGGCAGGACCTCGACCAGTGTAATGGAAAGTGTGTTGGAGCAAGCCACACCTAGACTGAAACTGAAGAAAGGAGGCTCATACCTGAGCTCACTGTGTGCTGTTTGAGGAAATGGCACAAGTAATTGTCTCACAGGGAAGTGGAGGAGTGGAGGAGTGGCTGAGAATGGCACTCCCTCTTGTTCACGTACCTGAGGTTATGTGTTTTTAAATGAAGATGATGTTGCACAACCAGGATATGCAACAGACCTGATTATTCTTAAAAGGACAGATACACGTAGAAGAGTTAAATAGTCATCTTCTTCCTCCTCCACTCCACATACACATCAACCACAACTCTCCAAACCCTACTATATGTGGGGAGCGTATAATTAAGTTGTCTTGAATGGTGTTTATAGTTCGTAATATTGGAACTTTTTATTTATTTTGTTAACTTTTCGAGGCTTGTATTTTATGGATGCAGAAGAAACACAATGCTGTTTGTTTGTTTTATTTCATTGTGTATTTTTTTTTTTAAATACCCATTATAACACATTCCTTATTTTCACTCCACGGCGAACGGAACAGCTTTCCAAGTGCCTCACAAATATTAAATGTTGCTTCACTTTTTTTCCTTTTGCCCTCTTGAGAAAATATTTATTTTCATATTTGGTCCAAGTTCTAGCAAACTGAAATTATTATTATCTCTGCACCAATTGGTCAAATGGCAGTCTGCAGCAGTTTTTATTTGTTGTTACAGTTTTATGCTTTGAATGCAAAATACCATGTTTTTTTTCCCTTGAGAGAGCCTCTTTATCTCTCAGTATCAAGTTGTGTAGGCCGTTACGGTCCAGTTAGTTACAATGTTTAAGCGCATTATTACAGTGCTCCCTGAATCACGCACAATGATTTTAAAGAATCATGCCTGTTGCAGAAGGAAGGCAGCTTTGTTTATATATTTTCAAAAACATGAATCTATATTTTGAGGGTGACTATTTCTGAGAAACTTCATTATGCAGGTCCAAAGGTGGATCAGATAAGGCTGTGACCTGAGATGGTGGCCATATCTGAACCTTCATGTGCATTTGTACGGTGTGATGTTTAGCTTTCGAGTGGCCTTTTTTGTTAATGTGTGTCATATTGACCTTGAACCTAAAGGTTGTAGGTTATATATATATATATATATATATATATATATATATATATATAATGTTCACTTGACTGAAATGTTAGGTGCGGGCTTTCTGTGATGCAAAATGTAACGTCATAACTTGAAACTGACCAATGGCCTTGGACACTCTTTGTTACCGTGAGACCAGTAAAAGCCTGATCAAAGCAGCTGCTAAGCAGGCAGTGTTATTTCTTTTATTTTCACTCGTCCTGTTGTAGTTACACATTTCCTGTGTACTCACTGCTCTCTCCAGCTTCTTAACTATTTTCCATTCAGTAGTCAAGACATTCCTCCAGATATTGATGTAATCCAACTAGCCGCCAGATTTATTTGTTTTTAATTATGGAGTTTTTTTTTTTTTTTCCTTCTTTTTTCCTTCCTTTGGTAAAGTTCATAGAGTTCGTCAGATTCCAGTGGTCTCACGAAGCCTTAAGCAACGGATTCATTATGCTTGTGCAGTAGGGTAATTGTTAATATACCAAAGACATGCATTGTATTCTATGCATCTTACTTTTAACCTGTTAATTATGATGCTATTTGATTTGCTGTGAATTGTGTCATTCCACCTTTTTGCCCCCACAGTTTGCACTCGTTAATTTGCCTAATCACTTGAATTCTTCAGTATCTCTCATTTAGCTCTAGAGGCTGTATGGGTTTGGAGCTCTATGGCGTCAGAAAAGTTTAATTTGTGCCTCCAAAAAGTTTCATTGACTACTAAAGTACCCGAGCAAAAGCAGTTAAAAGTGGAAAATGTATGTTTATTGTGAATATTTTGGAAAATGAAATCGTAAGCTATATTTTATTTACTTATGAGTCGGTTTAGACTGTATAAACTAATTATATTGAATGCAATATGGATTTCACTTGGATAGTGTTTTGTCAGCTTAAATATAAAAGTGGCATAATTAATATAGTTTTATTCTAATGTGAATCTAATCACAGTTAGGTTAGTCTATTGCCTGCATTGTGTTAGTTTCTTCACTTGGATCCACTGACAAAGCTCCACTCCTCTGATTTTAACTTTAATGGACATAATTCAATTCATAACAGTGAATCATAACTCAACAACATCTGTGTCCAAGTACTTTTAAAGTGTCAAAATAATGTGTCTAATAGATGATTACATTGTAAGGAGGAGACAGGAGTGCTGATATTCTATGTGGAGATTTCCATGATGTAAATATTTTAATGCTATTTACGCACAAATGTTTGAAATCGGAGTTGGGATGCGTTGTTGTTGAGTGCCATCTCCAGAACAGAATGCTTGGAGGTTTGACCATGCAAATATGAAATGATTGTGATGATGCTGCTACAGTATGTAACACTGGAGCGGAAATAAACATGCAAGTGACAAACGCTGTGTTTTTCTTTTGTTTCTGAACTAAATTAATATTTGTTATAATGCTGATATTCTTTCAGCAGTAAAATACAAAAATACAACCACCAAGAGTTTTATGGGGGAGTGTATGGGGTTTTAATTTGAAGTTACCCCCATTCCAGTGCAGCTGTGTCATATTTCTACCTTATAAGGAAGATTAGGCAACACTGTATCTAACTGCTGTTGAGATAAATTAATTTGAGTTACAAAGAAATGACAGTTGGGATCAGTGCTACCAGTTGTAAAAGCCTTAAGGAAAGTGCACACAACACAATTATTTTAAAGGTAAAATAATAAGGAATATTTGAGTCACAGCCCCATTAATCCACAGAATACACTATTAAAGAGGTTAGATGCATACTTGTATTTGTGTGGTCTATAATAAACACATACTTAAATAACACATTTTTTTCCTCATACTGGCCATTGCTGCATCACCTATTCACCCTCTATCTGACACACTCACATTTTCCTTAAGGACCCCCTCTTCAGAAATCCAGTCTACTCGGACTGGTCGCTCTTCCTGAGCCGGCACTACCCACCATGTAGATTCAATAGATTTCAGTAGGCAGGACTGGACTGTCACCAAGCCCGGTGGTTCCCAACCTATTTCCTTAAGGGACTCTTTTTCTATCATTGAACTATAAACTAGTGACCCCTGACTAAGTGACATATTTAATGGACATTTGAGATTAGATTCAATGGTATAAAAATAACAGTACAGAACAACTGATAAACTGTACAATGAAGTGAGTTTGTGAAACGAGTGATTTAGATGAATTTCCTGTGAATATTGCGTCAGAGTTGAGTTGTCCTGATATTTTAAAATGTTCAAATGTATGTAGTATGTTCACAAATACTTAACTGGCTTCTTTTTTGATAAATTCACTGTTTTCTTTTCCCTGATGCTTTGCCATTGTTCTGTTTGCTCTTTGGTTGTTCTGTCTACTTTTCTAATGCAGAGAGGAAAGGCTCTGTGAATATACCCAATGTTCATGTCTTTCAAGTTTAAATCTTAAATAATAATCTAAAATTAAAATATATAAAATAATAACAATTTAATTTACTTTTCTTCACAGAAATGAATGAAATGCAGAGCTATAGGCCTACAATGTATATTTTGTAAGTGTTTTTACACCCCTTAAAATCATAAAAGCCTTGTGACCCCCCCATGAAGCCTTTGCAAAACAATAGTGGGGGTCCCGACTCCCAGGCTGGGAACCACTGACTGAACTTATAGGTGGTGCCTGTTGCTATGTGAAACTAGTTCAGATGGAAACTGTTCACACTAAGACATGAGGGTTATCCAGTTACAGTACTGGGACACACACCTATATAAAGATTTTTGTGCTTTTTCGGTGCTGTGAGCGCAAAGCCAAAATCCATTCAGTTAAGTTGAGGCAGACATCACATAGACCAATGTCTCAAAACCAGAACCACCAACATAGCTTAGAACCAGTGGTATTAGTAGTAGGAGAAAATATATCTATTTGAAATTAGTGTGGAGCAAGTTTAAAGTATGTACCCTGCAGGATTTAAACAGTTCCAATAGAGGGCGGTATAGTCTCATTTAAAGGTTGTCATCACAGACACATGGCATCAATCCTGAAGGCAGAGCTGTCACTGTGTTAGGATCCACCACCCAACACTTAGGTACTGTTGGGTCTCTGTAGATCATTTTAAAAGGAGTATGGGATAGACTATCAATAAACAAATCAATGACATTCTGAGTCTCTGTATTCATCTCTGTGATCATTGAATTAATATGTCTCACCTGGATTCCCCTCAAGTTTCCCCTATATACTGTGCATTTATACTGTGAACAAAATAACAAAAACAACTTACTTTACAACAACACTCCAGACTGCCCTTCAAAAGTCAGCAAATAGCTCAATCAGCTCTCAGTGTTTGAAAAGGCTGCTTTTTTTTATTCTACATGGACATGAATACATTTAGACCGCAAATGCTCCTCCTCAGGTAAAGGTCAGTGTGTGAGCTCACCTGTTTGATATACATAGATCCACTGCAAATTGGTAAATTTGAGGACAATATGCCCAATCATGCAATTACTGGGAGTGGACACATAACACCAATGTGACTGTCACAACAACACTGCATTATAAGTATGGGATGCATACATCCTTTATTTGTTTTGCGTGCCCTCATATTGTAATGTAGTAATTATAAAGTTTTGTCCTTGAGTTTTATTTATTCCACTGTTTATATAAAGATAAATACTGCATCTCAATTGTGTGTCCTGCACACAATAGAGTATGTAATGACAGAAAAACAAGATTTTTTATTGAGATGCAGACAGTGCAGAGCTTTATTCCAAACCAACGTGCCTCGGGACACGTACACTTGTTCTGTAACATCGCTGTCCCTGATGTGTTTAGTTTTCGCCCTTGTCCATGAGTAGGTTGTTTATCTGAAGCACACAATGAATGCCCCTCAGCCCATGTCCTCTGTCCTTGTCATAATCACCTGAATCTGCAGTAAACTGTCCCACTTCATATCTACTTTATATCTTTATCCCATGGATAAGAATGCTGGAAAATTACTCTTCTTTCTTTGTCTGACTGTCTTCCCCGTTTCCTTCTCTCTCTCTCTCTCTCTCTCTCTCTCTCTCTCTCTCTCTCTCTCTCTCTCTCTCTCTCTCCCCACACACACACACACACACACACACACAATCAATGTTAACCATCGGGTGAGTTGGATGCAGCAGTGTATCTGCTGATGGGAGAAGAAAGGCAGCTGCTCTACTGGTACCGTAACATGAGGGATCCAGTTACACCGTCCGAGGAAGTTTATGAGTGTTCCCATGTGAAAAGATCAGGGCTGTTTTAAACCTCCTTATCAACTCCAACAAGTTTGTCAGACAGTCACGGCATATTGGAGCACTGACAAAGGCTGTCTTTGTGGTCGGGGTTTGGTTTTCGCCTCATCTGTTATGAAGATCTGCTTGTTTTTCCAAGCATCATTGGCCACCTTGAAGAGCACGTCGACGGCTCCACGACCACACTGCATCTTACAATCAGATCCCTAAATATATAGACAAAGAAGATAAACTCTTGAGACTCAACGTTGTGTTTCTTGGCATTTAAACCTGCTTTATTTCCATATCCCAGAAAATCTGTAGCTATGTAGCCATGCACTGGCAAAATCTATGATCCAAGTACATAGAGGAGGAGATAAGGCAGTAATGTTATAAACTCCTCCTCGCTGCTTTTCATCATTTACTTGCCAAATCCAGTTAATCCAGGTGGTGCAGAGACAGATTTAGAGTCACCCCGCCTCCCCTGAACCTGAGGAATGAAAGAGAAAGAAACAGACAAGAGGATGTTGTTTTTAAGTCTTCTGCATTTGTGAATTAATGCACCGTGTCTTTTCAAGCCTGCAGAGGTGCAGGTATTACAATGGCAAGTGTGGAAAATAATAGTTCTTTTAACCTTCAGCTTCACCCTTCAATGAGCTCCTTTATCTGATGAGCGTAGTCATATGCAGCCTGAGACTCTGAGAGAGGGTGCCGTCAAAACAGATGCTATCTACCCTCTTCTTGTCTAATTACCTGTTTACTCCAAGGGCCTACAATGAATGGTGCTGTTGATAAGAAATCACTTTAGTTTGAGGAAATCATTAAGATTTAAGATTCGCGTTTGATATATATATATTTTTTTACATTCTTTTTACATTCTATGATATACCACATTGTGTTCAACTTGCTCTGTGTTGTATAAGTTGATATTTAAAAGTATTTATAACTGAAATGATGCTTGTTTGAATGGTACGGTACGATTTTTGCTCATATCAATCTCTAGATTCAACAATTGAGATTTTAATAGTTAGACAAATGATCAACATTCGAAGAAATTCAATGTATTTCCCAGAAAGGATTAAGAAAAATAAGATGATATGATAGTCTTTTGACACACTTGTCTTTAGGTATGACTCAGAGAGGTTACTGGCGTGAGAGCTCTCAAGTCTGCCTTTATCAATTCCATCAGTCCTCTGCTCACACTTTGGTTATGTTACTACAAACTTAACCTTCTTAAATATGTAAAGCCCTAAATCCTGCATGCCATCTTATCAGCACTGTCAGGCAGCGTACTGATTCAGCCCAGCATGCCAACCTGAATGACGTTGCTTGTCAGGCCACATTGTTGGTATTCACCTTTTATATAAATAGGTCAAAGTTACTCTGGAGTGTGAAAAAGTAGATGACTTCAAATGAATGTTTGAATTATTTTTTTTCAGACAACTCAGGAATGACAGTGCAGGAGAGGTTTCCTTTTTCATTTTAGGAAGTGTTCAAATCTCTTGTGGAAATATTTTACACCCTCATGTTTGCTCAAAGAGGCATACTTGGCAGTTGGGTGTTAGTTAGGGATTAAGAGATTCACTGCATATATGCTGGTTATACTGTGAAGGAGTGAAATGTCTTGTTAGAATAAGGCCCCCATCTTGCAATACTTTGTATGTAAAATATATGAAATATTGAAAATATATATTTTTTTCTTTGGGATTTTCTACAAGATCCAAACAAAGGCTGAAATTCATGATTCCATTAAGTCAATCTGGGTTTTGTTCCATACATTTTACAATCAAGTCAGTTTGAAATGTTCTGATGTTATTTTTTTCCTCCCCGATACTGATTCCAATACTTGAACTTTATAGAGTACCGATCAGATACATTACGCTCCAGTCTGACCTCTGACCCTTTGCTGCATGTCATCCCCTCTCTCTCTACCCCCTTTCCTGTCTGTCTTCAAGGCTAATAAATCACATGGTATCGGATCAATCCACAGACACCGCAGATACCCAATATCACATTTGAGGCAGTATCGAGGGATTTCCAAAGGTATTGGTATCGGAACCATATAGTTTTTAGTGTAAAAATGATATAAGAAAATTGGATACATACATCTCTGCTTGGTTCATCCACTGAAGCTGTGAACACTGCACATGGTGTAGTCATGGTGTACAAATGATTTGTACATGGCAATGCACATTCCAACATCTAGTTAAGTGGATTTTTATACAGTCCAGTATCACAAATCACAATTCACCCCTACTCAATGGGTTTTACAAGCTGTACAGTTAGGACACTCTCTGTCCTTAGATCTTTGATTTGTACAAGAAAAAACTCCCCCCCCCAAAAGACTTTTAACAGGGAAAAAGCAGAAGAAACCTCAAGAAGAGCCACAGAGGAGGGATCCCTCTCCTAGGATGCACAAGCAAGCAATTGATATTGTGTGTACAGAATAGAACCAGAAAATTTGCAGTATATAGAAATTATGATGACAAAATATAGATATATGTAGATTGCAAAACATAAGTAAAGAGTGTGGATTGAGGAGGACGTATAACCTCAGCCACATGATCTCCCCTCCACCATGGAGACCTGGAAAAAGCACAGGTTGCACAACATAGACGAGGCAATGAGTAGTATAGTGGTGAAATAACATACAAGTACTTTAATCTGATACACACCCTTGTCCTTTACCTGAAAATGGCAATACTGCCAGAATGCAGCATGTCAATGGTATTTAACTCAGAAAAATCTTCCATGGAAAGTAGAAACACAGCAGTTTTGAAGCAGATGAGTTATGTGGAGGAGTCTCTAACCACATAGCAGCAGCATGTGAAAATCAAATTCTAGATGACTGTAACTACTGTAAGCAGATACACACAACAGCAGCCAGGTCACAATGAAGCCCCATTGCACCTGAAGGGCACGACCTCACCTGCAGGGCAACATACTTACTATACAGGAGGCGATGTGATAACAAAAGGAGACGACATCTATATTTAAAGCATGGACAGTCAGTACACTCAAAGATAACATACCTGTGTCATACCATGGACATACACTGTCTCATACTGTCACACAGCTGCAGATACTTGATAGACTTCCTTTACGCTAAAGGCTAAATGCAACTGCCAATGGACCACATTATACAGGTTGCTCCAAAAGTAGAGATCCAATGGATACAGTAAACCCAGAAATACAGAGATATAATTATAACATCTGCATTACAAACGGCAACTCTGATAACCACATAGTTTGCTTACCCTCTGGATTCACTTTCTTCCATCTCCCATTCAAAATATAATTTGAAAAAATCTGTACATGTAAATCATTCTTTTGGTTCACAAAAAGTTCTTGTATATAATTCATAAAATGTGTGTAATTTTCAAGGAAAAACACCTCTGGCCAATGAGCCTTTCACTACAATTTGAAGTGGCATTCCAATTTCTTATTCCCATGATCGTCTCCTCTTACTTTCTCTATGCCCCACAGTGGTAATAATGTTAACAAACAGGTTTTGTTACAATAATAATCACACTCATTTGTGACGGCATTTTCAGATTAAACTGACTTTAAAAAAGATGCACTTAAACCAGTTTTATGACCATCTGGAGGTTATGATGTTGAAGTGGATATTCTCTTTTGGTCTTGCAGTGCATTACTGCATGCTGTATCCTTATTTATACTCTATTTTTATTTTTGGATTATTTTTCTCTGTTGTATCCTATTATTTTTCAGTCATCCAGTTTTCCCATTTGGGTGAAGTTTTGTCTAAAACACTATGATCTATAACTTCTCTTTGAACTCTGTTTACAATTTAGTTATTTTAAATTAAATTCCCCAAGATGTTTCATGCAGTAGTTTTCCTCATGATGTCACCTCAAGAAAGTTGAAGAGAAGTTTATCTCCATGTTTTCATCATGTCAGGGGCTCTTTAAAGGAATCAGATCTCATTCTTTGGCCCACATTTACAATATCACCCTCATCTCTGTCTAGTTTTATCTTCTTACAGAATGTAGTTTTACTGTATCACCAGAGTTTAACTCCACATAGATAGTTTAAATGTCTCCAGTATATAACTAGGGTCAGTATTGCAGTGTTATCTGTTAACTATACTTCACAGTTAACAACAACTAATTGTCACATACAAGGGTTGTTCTATATAAAACAAACAAACAAACAGTTGATATACTCGTATTAACATTTAAAAATGAATGAAATGTAATGTGATTTATGTATTTTTAACAGTATCAGACTGTATTTAAATGTATCAACATTCATTTATTAATGAATTAATCAACAGTGCTTCAGTGATAAAATGTTTCATTGTGCAACATCAGTGTATTTTATCTTGAGGCATGAGAACAATTACAGGATGTATTCATGAACAAAATTATTTCTGATCATACACTGGTGATGAGTTCAAAATCAACGTCAAATAACAAATAATTAACTTTGATAGTGAACATAGAGCCTAAATATCAGGGATACTAAACATAGGTTTATGATTATAAATCATAGTTTCATACATCATTTCAGTTTCACCATAACGCTGGCCCCCAGGGGCCACTGTAGTCCCACAGGTAGGGTCTGTACTGGTAAGCTTTGCAGAAGGAGTTTATTAGTGATGATCGGACCAAATCTCCTCTCAGGCCCAGTCCCTCTGCTTTGTACACGTCCTTACAGAACTCTGATGTCTGCTGCTTTCGTTTTGTCTTGTACCTCCGGTTCTGAAACCAGATTTTCACTTGGGTCTCAGTGAGTCTTAAGGTGCTGGCCAGGTGAGCCCTCTCTGGGGCGGAGAGGTATTTCTGGTGGTTAAATTTCTTCTCCAGTTCAAGCACTTGGAAGTGTGTAAACGCAGCTCTGGAGCGCTTCTGTTTCCCTGTGGAGGAATAACTGCTGGACTCTGAGATGCTGGGACAGGATGTGTCCAGAGACTCTGTGAAATACAGATGAGATTGGCTCAGTAAGGGAGAAAACTACTCAGTAATGGTCAGAATGGTGTAAAGGCTGTAAAGTGGTAGTCATGATGGATCATCATAAGATAAACAACTATGACTATGAATAAAAATACTCTCAGAAAAATTATTTTTCCCCTTAAAACTATTTTTATTTATTTTATTTTATCATTTTTTTATCACAACTTCTCATGATACAAACCTACAATTTATCTCAAAAACATTTATTCTATCTTCTAAAACAATATTCAAATCAGTGCACAGAATTTATTTGGTTATCTTTCCATCACATTGTTGTTATTAACAGCCTGCAGGAACTCACCTGTGTGCACTCCAAACGCTGTCTCCTGAGGGCAGAGTTGCTCTGACAGCATTTCAGATTCTTCATTCCACTGTGAACATCTCTCTATCTTCTCTGAACAGCATTTGCCATTAAATCCTGAGCTGTCCTTAATGGAGAGAATGTCCTCTATGAGGAAGGAAGTCAGAGGTTTGACTGTGTCAGACATTTCCATCCAGTAATCCACAAATCTGAGGCCTCTCAGTGCCAGCGGGCTACAGCGGGAGACGTGGTTGAAGCAGTGTTTCTCCTAACATGCTCACACAGGCTGAATTTATACAAGAGCAGGGGCGGGTTTACTCTGACTGCATCGACAAGTGAAAGAGGCGGGCCAAGTACAGTCAACTATCTGCTTCTACCTTCAGTAACTTTCATTTGTTTGCCTCTTCAGATCAACTTGATGAAGATTTATGAGATCAAACATAAAACAAACAAAAAAACACACTCACATTTTATGAAAATGTACAATTTATATACTATAGACTGCACATGCCTTTACAATATATGTACATTTACATAAGATTTCATACTATACACAACATGAATCTAGTACAGTCTAATACGACAGCTCTCCTTCATGAAGGTTGTAATGTTCAGTTTTTGTTATTTTAGAGATGTGTAGACTCAAATTTAGGGTCACATTGGAGGCTGTAGTTTGAATTGCATTACCTTATACTGACAAAAATGAAGTTTAATCATTCTGTGTAATGCATTATAGAGAGTTATAATATTAAGTATCTCTCTCTCTCTCTCTCTCTCTCTCTCTCTCTCTCTCTCTCTCTCTATATATATATATATATATATATATATATTATATAAATGAGATGGACAAAAATAGAAACTGCATTGAATTATAATGATAATATAATTAAATATATGAGTAGCATATTGTAGTTTAATTGCATATTTTGTACACTGTATGAATTATTCACACAAAATCTGGACTAAATGGACATACAAAATGAGATAATAAACTAGTAGTAGATAGGCAAACAATGTAAGTTCATATAGAAAGTACTTCCCCTGCTCTAGACACAATACAAGTCCAGACAGAAACAATATCAGAGTGTATAAGGGATTCTCTCTCAAATTATATGTCATAGTAGTTAAATGGATTTATGTCTTGAGCTTCAGGCCCCCATCAGCTCGGTGTAGTAACCCTGTTGTCTGCAGCTATAGGGAGACAGCAGTAGAAGGGAGGAGGGGGTCAGAGTGGGTGGTCATACCTACTGGAGCACTAATGACTTCGACACATTTAGGCCGGCTCCTGAACGGACACAGTCATTGCTTGGTGGCTGTTTATTTGTTGTTCTCTGTGGTTCAGCCTGACTTTCTCCAAAGGATGAGACGTTTACTAGCACTGTCTGTGCTCCTCTGGGAGTTCATGCTTCATTTGGAAATGCGTGAATGTAGGTATGATAAACATGATCCTCTCTATGCCCCCTGGCCTTGCTGACTCCTCCAGCTTCCTTGGCACCAACCACACACTGAGAAGTCACCAACACCACCATGTCACATTGATGGGTGCTTGCATTATCGCTGCTTTAATTTAATCAAAGGGCAACAATTACACCTTCTGCTATCACATGTTGATTAATGTTAAATCCTGTGTGTGCAGTATGAACCTATATTTAAAGCCACACCGAGTGATGCAAAGTTGAGCCTGTTCTGCTCTGTGTTGTGATCATTTATAAAAGCCATCTGTTTTAAATGTACTGCGTTTCCTCTTAAGCATTAGCTGCTGTCTTGTCAACACAGTATTAAGATCATCAGTATGATACGTTTCACCTTGAATTCTTTGTCTGCGACCGTCTGTCTGCAAAAGTATGTTGAACTGTAAGCACAGAAAGCTTTTATCCCTTTGTCTAGACACACAGTTCTTAAAGCCCTTATGTTTATTTTTGGATCATACAGTACTGAATATGGACTAAAATATAGAAAGAGGACTTTCAATTAGAAGCACAATTCAATTTTAGCAAATTTCAGACTTTACAGAAAATTCTGAGGTTAATTTCAAGTATTGATCATTTCAAAAATACATCACACACATGTTTGGTTGTCATCTAAACCATACTCACTTGGACGAATAAGAAAACACGTGCACTCAGTTCAATGATAAGACTGTAAACAAAGGCTCTATCAACCATGCTGTCACCATCTGCCCTTATTCTGAAACAATCCACATGATTGCTCTGAGTTGAAAGCATTTCCTTTCTATCTATTGTGTCCTGAGCATTCATTGCACAGATACTTGGCTGCATAGTTCTGCATCAGATGTGACACAATAGAACCTTTGACCTTTTAGCCCGGGAAGGCATTTGTCTTCCCCAGTACATGCAATGTGGTGACAGTGCTTTCTTTGAGACACCGAAAGTTGTTGTGCCATCAATCTTCCGCCGTTTTCCTGCTATTTCTTTGTCTGAGATGACGAGCAGTGAGACTTTGTTGTAACTGTAGACTTGTATCATCAGTGTTGTATACTGCAACCTACACCTGTGTTATTGCACAAGTTCTTCACTCCGTGTATTGTATGACAAAACAAATATCTCATCAGATTGAACAGGTCAATTTGAGATTAACAGACAGATCTCAAATGTCTAGTCTCCCCTTTCACTCCTGCCCAGTGTGCATTTCCTTTCTCAAACCAAAAATTAATCTGAAGAAAAAGACCTGTTTATATGGAAGGTTTAACCAAATTCATCCTGTGAGCAGTTTATTTTTGGTTTGTATTTAGTGAACATTAAATGGTTCTTAATGATAATTATACTGATTCACACTCTTTCTTTGAAGGAAAAACTGTAGGTGTATATTTTGTTGTTGTATTACAATACTCTCATTAACTTTGGTTTGGTAATTTGGTGTATTATTCAAGAAAATACAACCTATTTGTGTGATATCATGTTGGCATAAATGAGTATTATGTCACGTGAGAAATGAAATGTCTTCCACTAGAGGGAGCCTTAAAGCCACACATCCACTCCCCACAGGGTAACAAAGCCAGCAGCCACTTCAAGCTACAGGAACAACCACACAATGAGCTATTTTACCAAAGGATTACTCAGATGAGAGTCTGATTATGCACTGTCAATAGTTACCTAGCCACACAATTGTTACAGGGTGGATCCTGACTTTGTGAATCATCTCAGCACCGATCATAAACACCAGATTGTCATACTGGCTTTTGAAGGTTATTACATAGTCAGAGCTGATGTAACTACAGCATGAGTTCAAACCTTTTTAAGTAAACCATAATGGGTCTTTCACTGATGGCCAGACTCACGTCATCCTCTATTTAAACTGACCCTCATCACAACAGTGTAATCAAGCATCTTTATTTAGGGATTCATCTTTCATTCATATGTATCTTTGTGTCTCTATCTCTATCTCTGCATCTCTCTTTCTCTGTCTCTGTCTGTCTGTCTCTCTAAATTATGTTCAATTCAATTTAATATGCTTTATTGAAGTGTACCATAGACAGTGTTGCATTAGGAAATGAGAATAAAAAGAAAGGGTTCAGAAAATCAAGAAATATAAGAAATCTCTCTTTCTCTATCTCTAGCACATACACATACACACAGAGCAGCATAACAGACCAAATCCTCAAATTGTATTTAAAATTCACACAATAAAACTAAAACTATTGCACAGAAGCGCAGTTATTTCCACAAAAATTGAATAAATCTTTTCATTTCTTTTACTAATTTCTGCACATTTGTTTTCAAAAATATTATCAATTTTAGGTCTTCCTTATTTCTGCATTTAAAACCGTGGATTTTGCAGAACACACCCACCATTAACAAAACTGCTGCAGTCTCTTCTTTTTCTATGACACACACACACACACACACACACACACACACGAAGGGATTATCTGATCTCTTGAAGTGTCTCTGGTCTCCTCTCTGTCTGCAGCTTCATCCTTATCTGTGCAGAGATGCTCCTTCCCTCTCTCCTCCCAGAGGTGTTTCTCCTCCTCAGGCCCTTTTGCTCAGTGTCCATTAAAAGTTATTTATATATATATTTTTTTCTTTTGCACAATTCATTCATTTATTCTTTGAACGCTGGAGTTTGTGCACCGCATGAGCCACGCAACAGAGATATACTTAATAATAATATCTTAATAATTTTGAAAGATCAGGTTTGTGGGACTTCTTAAAGCTTGTTTTAAAGCTTTTGATGTGATATCTTTAATCCCTCCACTGTGGATTTAACACCATTTTTGAATAAGCTGCTTTATATATCTCTTTCAGGTGCTGGACAACACGTTAAACAACCAATCAACAGCATCTAATGAAATGGAACTGAGAAATATTTGTTTTGCAGTGCAAGTGAAGTCAGTATCTGTTGCTCATAGGCTGGTGACAGGTCAGACTGGAACTGTTTCCCGTTTGATTGAAAGTTTGAAAAAGTTAAAGAGCCACTCTGTCTGCGGGTTTGTTTACTAAGCAAAGCTCCGGGACAGGACAAGCTCTCCAGCCTTATCAGCGGATTTGTGAATGGGACAATAATGAGCTCAGTTTGATAGAGCAGCCCTTTCAGGTCAGATGTCACTTCACCCATTAGCTTTTTGATGGCTCTCTTTGATAAACTGCAGAGACGACAGCTTCATAACCAATCACCGAAGGGTTTCTAATCAGGTATGTTGGCTTTAATTGGATGCTAAGAGGAACATTACACATTTGAACTGGGAGAAATGGATCGAAATGTCAAAAGTCAAAAAGAGTTATTTAGTTTAGTTATTAGTCTTAGTCATTATGAGGACATTAATGACATTTAAAAGCTTTCAAAGTATTTGTAACATTGGTATTAGGATGAAAACACATAAATAAAAATATAATAACTGTCACAAAAAGAAAAGGATTTAATATTAACCCAGGGACAAAAATGTGTAAGCATGTAAATGTATTTCGACAAATTAAATATCAAAAGCTTTTTCTAACCCATATTACATTTTACATTTAAAAATCTGAATCTGATGCTATTTAAAGTGTGAAATATATGTTTAATCGTACAACAATAATAAAGGACAATAGAACGTGTTAACAAAGAAGCTGATTTTTAATTTGCCAACATGAGAGAACTGGCAACAGACACAAAATGTTCCATAAAAAAATGTGACATACTGAAATATTTGATAGCTTTCTACCATACAGGCCATTTTCTATCACCAGCCTTTGACACCCTGTAATGAAGCCTGGAAATGTCCGTGGTTGAAGGGCCCCTCGCTGTTAACGTGGTAATTAGACATACTGGCTGAAGGCGACACACTGTGATAACTGCAGCCATACACACTGCCGTTTCCATATCCAAACACGGGATTATAATGTCCAAGAGTCACATTATACGGTGCTGAGTGTGAACTTGAGCTGCAGAGCTTCCCGTCCCGCACCAGCACCGGCACCGCCACCCTCCTCGGTGCAGGTGGATACCCCGCCAGCTCCAGAGACTTGTCCTGCCTTTGGCGCTTGCATTTGTACCTCCTGTTCTGAAACCAGATTTTGACCTGTGTGGAGGTGAGTTTGAGGATGTGGGCCAGTTGCTCTCTCTCCGGGGCGGACAGGTAGCGCTGCTGCCTGAAGCGCCTCTCCAGCTCGGACACTTGGGACTGGGAGAAGAGGACCCGGGGCTTCCTGCGCTGCCTGGGTCTGCTTTTTGAGTCCTTGCCACAGTCAGGTGAACTGTGAAGACCGCTTATTTCTGAAAACATCAGAAAAGAAAGCTCAAACTTTATAAACTTCGGCTTCTAAATTTTAAATCTGTAAAATATTTGGCTTAAAAAAAATTTATTTTACACATTTAAAATACACACATGAAATAGGGAAACTTAAAATACTTAAAATTGAAAACCTGTTGATGGAGGTAGATGTCATTTGTTTCTATTTACCAGCATTTTCTCCAACAAAGTTAAATCTGTGATTTTATTTTCGGTTCTTATATAGCCTACTTTTATATAGCATTGCATTATTTCTGCAATATATTTACACATTAAACATTGAATTTAACATTAAAAAGAATAACAACATAACTTCAACTAACTTATAGTTCTGCCACTATTTTGAAAAACAAAATTAAATAAAGCAAATATGAAAAAGAACAAAAAGCACTGAATAGAATAATCTGAGTTGGAGTTAGTTAATAAAAGTTTATTTGATTATTTTAAAGTTTTGAAGACGACATTGTTTAAGACTAAATTTAAACCGTTTACAGTTTGCTACACTTCCCCTGAGTTCAAATGTTAATAAAGACAATTGCAGAAGAAAGAGCATGTGCTCCCCTTCTCATTAAACTGTGTTAACGTATAATGATTTTAATAATTGATCCCAGTGACCAAATAATAATAATTTGTCTTGATCTGATTGTCTGCCTCTTCTTATTGATCACGTTTGGATGATGGGTGGTAAAATATTGCAAATACATCGCCTACCCCGTGTATTTGTCTTTATTGAAAATAAATTCTTGTTAATAATTATTGTTCTGTTTTTCAAATTGACAGATTTTAAGAAAAGGGGGAGATGTGGCAGGTGGTGGTGTTTAACGCGCTCTAGGCCCCATTCCGTCTGTCGGCCTAAACGTAACCAACTATCTGCAGAGTGTAAATACATGGAACTGGCTGAATATCATGTAAGTGTGATCTCACCTTGTTCATTTATCTCGTCTTCGGCTGCTGAGTTGTGAGTATCGAGCTTCTCCTGCATCCCAGAGACGTACGGCTCCGGCTGGCACTCATAAATGTCCCTGCTCCGGGACGCACCGTGTACGTGCCGATAATGCATCGGGACAACTTGATCAGTCATCAAGAACTCGTGTTCAAAGTCATGGTGGTGCTCCAGCTTTAAAATATCCTTCACTGAAAAAGGCGTCGTGCTCGTTAAACTGGGATCCATCCCCGCCTTTTCCATTTGCCTGTAAAGTGATTTGGATCTTTCTTTTACGCGCTGTGCTCGAGCTGCTGGTGATGCTGCCGGACGTTTCTCTTAACTGGCTGACGAGTGAGGCCCTGGGAAGATTTTAATCATTCAAGAGTCCAGCTAAAGAGCAAGGTATAGATATATCTGTCACCCCTCACCAGAGACACTGGCCAACACCCAGCCTGCGCGCACAACTCCTTTTCTTCTCACCTTACACAGGAACCCCTCACATATTCACCCTGCTCTCTGTGTCAGGTTTAATAAGGAGGGATCATTAAGAAGTAAGACTGCATGAGTTGGTCATTGTATAGGGCTTCCTACAAAACTATTTGAGTTATAAACCTTTGAAAAAATATCTACATTTAGAAATGATTTGTATCATTTTTATAATTTAATCATGTGAAAGAGAGGTGTTGCATACTGATAAATGTTTATTTGTTAACAAGTGCTTTAGACTTGATTCATTTTCCACTATTTCATGCATTTCAAAACATACTGCCAGTCAGGAAAAAAAAGAAAATTTGTGACTGAAAATGTGTTGAAACAAACGCTTTAGCATTATTAGAAACAAATGAAACTCTTTCAGATGAATTAACCTGTTTAAAAGGGTGGTAATTTATTCAGTGTATACCCAAAACCACGCTTCTGTTCAGCCAAGTAAGCCACTTAATCAGCATGCAGGTCCTCGGGGGTTGAGTGATCTTAGGTGATGTTGAACAGCTTTACCATCAACATTGTTTTCCTGCGACGTTATTAGTGTTCTCAGGCCACAACAAACAGTAACATTATACCTGATGTTGTGGAAGTGGAGTGGCGGCGGCGCCAGCCTGCGATGCTTGACTGAGGCCGAGACGCGCGTCCACACCGACAGGAACAAGGACAGACAAGGCCTGTCCCACTGCAGGACACAGGGAGATATATGGAGGCCACTTATGGCGCTTAGAAGTGATTAAAATTGTTGACTGGTCCTTTAGAAAAACTGGAGTAATAACATATGTCATGGTAAATGGTAAATGTTTACTATAAGATTACAAACCCAAGTTTATTTAAGATCTCATGAGGATTTAAGTATGTTTCATGATTCCTGTCTCATTATTTAGAAATATGAGTTTATAATTAGTTAACTTTTTAACAAAAGATTAATGAATAGATTACCGAATGTTACTGTAACTCAAAGTAATGTATTTGTTGCTCAGTGACTTATTTTTACCTCATTACCATAGTAAAACTCCAGCAAAAAGACAAGACTCAAACTTACAACCTCTGAACTACGCAGCTGGTTATTTAATTTCTTGTCACCTGTTGAGTTTCCATCTTCCACAATACAAGGTAAAAGAAAAAGAAAGGTTAGGCTGGTTACAAGGGCAGGTAGATCTGTTCTTCGAGTACATTTGGGTGGAGCTCTGTTGACAGTTTGTTTAGGTCAGAGAAATCAGAAAAGAATCAAATTGATGGAAATTGCCCCACTCCAATGTAATTAACAAAACAGCCAGAAAACACTCACACTGTCCCGACAACAGGCGAAAAACACCTGTGTAAGTAAACCATAGGGGGTAGTTGATCTGTTTGCCACTAGGGGTCACCAAAGCTTCATGGGTGAGTTGCGAGGCCTTCTTGATTTTAAGACGTGCTAGAAAATGTAAAAAATACACACAGTAGGCCAATATTTCAGCATTTGGTTCACTTCTGTGAAGAAACGTAAATGTTAAGTAAATAAAATGTAAAGTAAATTGTCCATCAGAACAATGGCCAAGTGTCAGGGACAAGAAAACACTGAATTTGTCATAAAAGCTTAGTAAGTATGTATGATTGTTAAAAATAATAATAAATACATAATACGGAAAATTGTATAAAAAGAACAGGAAATAATCTGCTCAAAATTCATCCAAATAACTACTTTCACACAAACGTCGTGCAGTTCACCATTTGGGTTTATTGTACAGTTTTGAATATATTATGAAATATCCATTAAATATGTCACTTAAGGGTCCATTAAGGAAAAAGATTGGGAACCACTGCTTTAGAAATTACCTGAATGCCACAAGAGGTCGCTGTTTCTGAGGTTTGATTTAAACTGGCTGCAGAAATGGTCTAACAGAGGTTTAAGGTCTAGAGTTCAGTATTTGGATCACCATGTGAAGATACGTTTTCATCAGACAGCTGTCAGTAGCTAGATCAGTCCTACACATCGACATATAAAAGATGGATGCCATGACCGCTGTCCACATTGAAGCGAAAACATCATTGTTATCATGTTATCTGTTGTTTGTGGATTCTTACTGTTTTATTTTTTATTTTTTATTTCTATATAGCCTATATATATTTCATGATGATAGTATGTGGGTTTTTTATTTTTTGCTAATTATTTGTTTTGTTTAATTATTATTATTTTATTTAGTATATTCAGTTTTGCAGAATTAGTATATATGTAGAAAGGCAAGCATAGGACCAGCATTTTTTACTAGAGCAGGAGAACCATGCAGGAACCAGGATTTTATTTGTTCTTTTATTTGCTTGCTTTTTTTGGAGAAAATAAACCTTATGAAATACACAAAGTTGGAATGAACTGTAGACTTCTTCTCCATGCTGCAGCAGTGGCCCATTTGATTCTAAGTTTGAATTCAGTTTGATTTAATTTCAAGTAATTTTTTCCCAAAGATTGTTTCTGGGATTTTCAATAATTCTTATCACGCTGATATATGTTCAAGCGTAATTTCTTTAAGTTTAAATGTTTAAATGTGATGGTGAGATGGTTTATTTGAAGCTATAGAAAAGGAGGTTTAATGTCCTGATTGACAGTCAAGCCCTGCACGTGATTGAGTTGGCTGAGAATAGGGGTGAACGCTCGATACTGGGCAACAACCCTGATCACTACTACGCAGACCCCGTCTCAAAATGGCTGGGAGCTTGTCAAAATAACTATTTTCAATGAATAAACAAAGGGACATGGCAGCAAATAGGAGACTGAGCAGAGAACCAAGTAACTAGTACAGCAAATGAAAAACTAAATGACTGACCAGTCTGAGCACAGCCAGTAGCCATTTTGCAGCCACTGCAGTTTCTCCCTCTCGGTTGGAAAGGCAGGGTGAAATGAGTGAGCTGCAATCTGCAACTACACCATTAGATGACACTAAATCATTCACACTGGTCCTTCAAGCTAATTTGATCGCCTATAATCTATAACAATTATTTAAAATTCATTAATAGATGATCCATTATTTGGCAACTAATCACATAAACTCATAATGGCTCCATCATTTCTTTATAGTGAGCAACAGCAATTTGTTATGTTTCAATTCAAGGTGAGGACCCAAACGCAGAACACAGACTATGAGGAGCGAGGATGGATGGCGTGAGTAGGTTGGTGTTGAACAAGGGTTGCAGGGAAAGGGGCAGGCAGAGAGATGAATGATCTACCACTGCAGTTGACTGAACAGTCAGATACTGGATGTGTGTAGAGGTGTGGAGCAGATGCAAGGCATGTGAGTCGACTGGAAGCGGTGATGAGCTGATTGAGGAGGAGCAGAGCTGGCAGACAGGAGGGAAGCCACACCCACAACACACAGACAGACAGGAGACACAGGGGAGGAGTAAATGCTAGGGGAAATGCAGGGGTATATGCAGATACATCCTGCATTAATTAATAAATTAAAACATTATGAGTTTATGCTTTACTTAAGTGTGTTTTTTATAGCATTATTATGAAGTGTTACTGTTTCAGGATTTTTTTCTAGCAATAAAGTGGTACAAATATTGAAAACAAAAGGTACTCTTGGGGGAAAATAAGTTTTGAAGTGGGAGAGAATATGGTTTTTCCTGAAAATTATATTTAAATGTATTGATTTTATTAAGCTTTTGGTGGAATTTTGAGTTTGAGTTGAAGTTTGACCTTACCCTAATGCAGACTGTAAAGCCCTCTGAGACAAAACTGTGAGATAACTTTGATGTACTATATAGCCTGCTGAAGTCCATAATAAAGTCCATGTCCCATCATAAGCTTAATAGTTTAACTAATCTCCAGGTTTTACACAATAATGAATAATTTAGGTAACAAGTAATTTAATCTTTGCTCGATAATAATGAAGGGAAAATAGTCAAGTGATTTGATTTGAACATGGATATTCAGATATTTCCCCCCATTGTGTGGTGGAGTATAGGCTTAGGCTATTGCCCATCATTCTTGAAATACATTTTTTAATTTACTATGGAAAGACTGTTGCATTAGCATGTGTGGTCTTGCTGCTTTAGCTGCTTCCCGGAGCTGCTCTTGAGTAAGATCAAGTTCCAAGTCATACATAATGATTAAACAGACCCTTAAAACTTAATGCAATGCTTAGATTCTCTGCAGTGATAGTACATGAAACAAACACACCTTATACTGACAAACCAAGAAACCTGAACTTCAAAAGCACCGGGGGAAAAAACTCAGACTTCAACCGTGAATTGTTTGACACCTTAGGGATTTCAGGGTGTCCAGTTTGATGGGTAAATTACTTAATCACTACAGCAGTGTTCTCTGAAGGCTCGAAGCAATGCTCTCTTTGAGTTTCTGTGACTCCTGTGCCTTAAAATCAAAGTCTTTCCTATTGATTCCACCATTTGTCCCCTCACTGTAACATAAGAAGCTAGCTAAGTACAGTTTACCACAGAATACCCCTAATTCATCATACAGCAAAATAGGAGGCTGATGGCAGCTGAAAGAGGAGATAGAGTTGTCTTGCACAGAGTGAAACTGAACCCAGAGTTCCTATGGCCAATATGCACCTAAAGATGCTCGTCAAAATGTTATGTGACATTGACATTTCCATTCAGGAGAGAGGGATACTTCTCATTTGGAGTGTAGACTTATTCAGTCGCCATGAGATATGGGAGCGTGTTGTTATGTTTGTCTCAATGGTATACATTTGAAACATGATAGTTTAAGCAGCAGGTGGTTAGGGAGGACCTGCAGGTTACCGCCACCCCTATCCATGCTGAAGTGTTTATAAACAGGCAAACATGAGCAACTTGCTGACCTATGACCTCCTGGAAAATCAAAAAGAGGTTCACTGTACACAAAATGAAGGAACGTGCTCACAGAACCTAAATATATTGTCTCATAGATGTAATTAAGTTGATTTTTAATTCTGGTATTCTACTTTTA